TACTACTACTACTACTACTCCTACTCCTACTCCTACTGCTACTGCTACTGCGACTGCTACTGCTACTGCTACTGCTACTGCTACTGCTACTGCTACTGATGCTACTACTACTACTACTGCTGCTGCTGCTGCTGCTGCTACTTCTACGTTGTCTAGTACTGCTGCTACTACTACGTTGCCTACCACTACAAGTGGCAGTGCTGCCACTCTGCACGGCTTGTGCCTGGGATCAGTTGACGCAGTGGCACGCCGATCCGATATCCCCGGTAGCGTGTGAATTGCATCGTGCCGCCATTTCCGACCAAGCTGCTTTTCGTGAACAGGTTGTTATGCGAGCCTTTTCTACGCACGCGGACACTTATCTATGTCCATGCCTGTATAATTTTTCTATCGGACAGCTTCCAAAGAAAATTTGGATCGTCCAACTGCCAGAGCAACTTCGTTTCTTGAATCTTGGTATCCGGATGTGTGGCTCGGTGCTTTGGGCAGATGCTGTTGGCAATCAACCCGTGTGGACACGCAGGTTTAGTGTCAGAACTTTGGCATGATGCCGCTTGTTTGCTCAAGCATTTTTTTCGTCTTAGGAGATGCCGCTTGCACTGCCCGTGTGCCGCTAGAAAGAAGTCTTCTCGCTCTCCATCATGGGGTGTGGAGTGCCTCAGACCCTGACAGTCTTTTGTGTTCGGGGCTTTTCGGTTTGCGGTTGAGCCTACAGCCTTGGGTAAGCGATAGCCTTGACTGCACCCGTTGTAGTCTGGATATCTCCATCCCTGCGCCTGCCGCATTCCGACGTCATGTAATTATTCGCTGATTTCGGAAGGAGGGAATGAGGGTAAAGGGCTTCATGGCGCACGGCTTGTCGAACCAATGATATCAACACTCGAACAGGGCTTCTCAGAAAAGGCATCTCACATCTCACAACGTGTTCACGGATTTCAGGTCTTAGGTTTGTCTCATGCAAATCCGACAGGTTCCTCAGAAGCTTTCACAGGATCCCCGCTGAAGTTCAGCACAGTTATCTGACCTGGATCTCACAGGGTTCTTGCAGGTCTGCCTCCAGTTTTTCACAGGCTTCCTACGGGGCTCGCACCGGAGTTTGTGGTCTGAGCCTTTTTAGTGAGAGACTTCAGGGTTCGAGCGTGTACAAACTGTTCGCTGCCTTTGACAGGCGCTTTGCAGTACTTTGTGCCGCTCTTTCGTGAAAGCGTGGCCTGAGTGTCAGTCGTTTCAACAGATACACGCATGCCAACCTCGATGAGGCGGCTTAGTGATCCGCCAGAGGGGCTGGAGAAATCCGGTCCACATCAGTGCCGGCGACACAGAGTCCCACTGCCGACACAGCCCAGCGCGACCAAGACCAGCGCCAACAAGACGACAAGGACGGTGGCGGCGGTGACGACGACGACTGTTGCTGCTAGTCGCGTCCTCCCACTGCGACAGCTGACAGCAACGCCTACGGCTGCTGCTGCTGCTGCTACTACTACTACTGCTGCTACTGCTGCTACTACTACTACTACTACTACCGACCTATTTACCTACTCAACTACCTACCTGCCTGCCTACCTGCCTACTTAGCATCGACCACAAGGCCGGCGAGGACGACGACACCCGTGCAGGGCTGCCAATACTGCCTCCGCTGTTAGACTTGGGCCGATACCATTACGGCGAAACACGCGAGTAAACCTATCAATCCGCAAGTAGCAGGCCTAGGTGATGGTCAGACACATAGCTCGCAGAGACCCGCCCACCCGCAGCCACAGGCACAGAAACAGACGCAGACACAAACACACGCGCAGACACACACGCACACACATCAAACCAATGTTGGCAATGCGTAGGGAAAATGCGGATAGTGCTGGACGCACTAAGCATTGTTCATCCACAGCAGCAACAACCTTCGCAACAACACTCTGACGCTGACCAGCAGAACCATTTTTGACCCACTGTTCCTGATGCAAAGCCAATAGTAAGCCAATTGATGCCAAGGCAAGCGCGTCTCAAGTGCACCCGATGCCGCTGCTCGGCAGTGTTGCCATGGCATGCAGCTCTGTTTCAGCGACCTGTGGCCTCCAACACTTGCTGTCCACAGCATGGACGCCCGAAATGATAAGAACAGGAGCCTCCCCCTCGCCAGTTGGATGTTGGGTGTACGAGAACACTCTGATCAGACAAGACACTCGCAGAACGTGCGTTGTCAATGTTCCGTTTCATCCACCGGTCTCCTGTAAAGACCAAGAACTCATCGACTCTTGCATGACCCTCGTGCACCACGTAGGCCTGGGACAGCGTTAATCTTGCCTTGGCGTACCACTACAGCTGCCTTATGCTGCTTCTGCTCCTGCTGCTGCTGCTGCTGCTGCTACGACTACTACCACCACTACCACCACCACCACGACTA